TGTTGTATTTTCCATCGATCTTTGTGTTGTACTGTCAGGAAGACTTTTACAACTTTATGTTCTTACCAGCCTGACAGAGGATCTTCTGGGCATATCTACGAGATCAAGGAAGACCAGGAATCTAGTATCCGATTACACTTCATAAAGTTTGAAACCAAGTACATTGAAATGTGTGTCAACTTTATCAAAGACAACATTTTAACTGCTGCACATAAAGACAAGGCTCTTAAGGCAACAGGTAATCAAAAGCCAAATGGAGAGTTTGTAAAAAAGTTTCGTGAGAAGGAAGCCCTTGCAAAAAACGAGAAGTGTCCAAATGCCTCCAACAGACAACATACTTATTCTCCCCATGATAAACACCCTGGTTTAATGCTTCTAAAACTCCCCTTACAATATCTCACCATGCCCTTTAGGAAATATCACCAAGATAGTATTCCATAACTACATAACTGATGTCCACAACCAGAGCTCTTTGACCTTGGAGAGGGATGATGAACATTTACACCAAATATGGTCACAATGGCACCATGTTTTTGACACTGTCAAAATAGCTTGTGAAGACAAAAAAGCAATCGAACAATAGTTGCTGTCATAGTAGAAAAATGTCGTTAGTCATTTGTTTTCACTTATGAAGTTCTTAATAGTCCTTTTTCGTGTTGCTTTTAAGGTGGTGGTGCTTACAAATACATTGATTTGTTGACAAGTAAACTTGGTTGCAGGTAGGTTGAACCAGAGTGCAAAGAAAGCCGGTTTTACGGCTTGCCATTTGGGAAAGTTGTTCCTAGTAAATACTAGCCCAAGAGTCTTTTAAGTAGCCTCAATTCAATTCAATTCAATTTAGCACCATTGATTACAGTTCTTCTGTAATGACAGAGGATCTTCTGGGCATATCTTTGGGCAAGTTAAGTTAAGAACAGGATTCACTAGCCCGATTGCAAAATCCACTAGCTCCGGGCTATCAGACATGACCTTCTTTGCACGCTGAGGTTGTAAGTGGATTCGTATTATCTCACTCAAGTTCAAATAAGTTCAAAAGCATCTCATCATTGCAGACAGTGTTTGTACATGAATGAAACTAATCTTTTGGTCCATAGATACAAGAACAAAAGACATTTTTGACAAAGTTGGATGAAAAGTGTTTAATTCTGAAACCAACATTCAACATCCCTTAAACTGACATGCAAATAGGCAAATGTGTTGAATCCATTTGATCATGGCAAATTCACTAACAACAATTCGCTTAATGGCTTTAGTTTGGAGGTAGTTAAAGCCGAAAAAGATTTAGGTGTTTTAATTTCTAGCGACATGACTTGGAAAGACCACATCATAATGGTGGTAGCTCAAGCAAATAAGATGTTAGGTTTCCTGAAGAGAAACTGCGCCGGCTTAGTTAATAGGGAGGCACTTTTGTGACTTTATCATTCTTTAGTGCGCTCGCATGTTTGTTTTTGCTCGCAGGTCTGGGCTCCGCAGTCAACCGTAATACTCTTTTTCTCGTTGAGGGTATTCAAAGAAGGGCCTCACGTTTTATCGTTGGCAAAGGCAGCGATCTCTCATATAGAGATCGCCTTATTAAGCTAAGAACGGGGTATAAAAAATTGGCCCATTTTTAGAACGGGGTATCAATTTTAGGGGAAATTTTTTCTAGAACGGGGTGCCAATTTGGAGTCCCGGGCGGCACATACCCACCCAAAAAATACCCAAGTGCCCCCCCGGGGGTTGAATCTACTAGTAGCTGTAGATTTCAGTTTCGTCTCTGCACTCCTGCATACGTAATGAACAGTGAATTCAGAGGAGCTAGTCATGAAATTTCTGCCAGCTCAGTTTTCTTGAATTTGATTTAAATGTCTTCAAAAAAACAATCAAACTGTTCAAACATTTTTCAATCTGACCGAATACAGAGGAGTTATCGTTAATACAATCTTGGGGGGTACACTTGACATGCCTTGCCTGTAAATCCCTACTTACCAGAATTTTCTTACCCTCCAAATCACAACACTGGGGACCTCATTCTTACAACTCTATTGAAAATGCAACCCACTATGGTCAACCCAGTCATTTAAATACGACCACATCCCCATTAGCCTATTACTAGGAAGTAACCCCATTCCAGGGACTGGGACTAAGCATGTGCATAGCTGCCTAGCCACATAGCCTTATTGTCAAAGGGTGTTTTAAGGGGTGTTTACATGACACCGGGGTGACTTTTTCCCCCGAGCGAGTTCACTCCGGTTCCCTCTCATGGGTCTATATTTGTTTACACGATACCACCACAAAATGTTATGCCGACGTGAGTCACCCCAGTGTGAGTTCACCTCGGTTCTTGTACCGGGGTGAGAATTTCACTCTGGTACGAAATCTCGCAACGGTATCATGTAAACGCAAAACGACCACCTATTTTGGTGTGAAATCGGTCTGCCGTAGACTGGAACGGGTAGCGCATGCGTAATGTTTGCGATTTTGAACTACACGTGTATTTTGTCAACATAAAAATGTACCTTCAAATATCAAGATATGAAATGACCCAGTCATCTTGTAAATGTGATACAAAATCAAAAAGTCATCCCAGTATGAAACTCGCTCCGGTGGGAGTTTTCTCATGTAAACACCCCCTTAGAGAGATCATGTTTTCTGTAGTTAAGCTCTTACTCTGTTGCTATATACAAAGTTCCTAATCCATATGATTGATCATGAATGAAAGCCTCAGTGTTTTCTTCTACGTGGACCAACCCTTCAGTTGGAGGAGGGAATGAGGTCATTACCACCATGATCGTTCTTTATAGAGTTCTGTCCAAATTTCAACACTTGTACAGTTGGGATTTGTGTGTATTGAAGAATACACTGTCCGAACGGAAGTTTTTTTAAAAAAAGTTTTCCCGTACGCAAGTCTTCTGTTCTTTTAGTCAGGAAATCCTACTGGATGGTTAAGGCTGCAACTGAGTTAATACCACTGTCTTGTCATCTCTGGAGACCCAAATTGATTAGTCAAAATAACAACAAAACACAAACCAACGATAGAAGTGCGTTCGTGCACATGGGAAGCTATCCGAGTAAAGGTCTGGAACCAAGAAAGTCATAAGTACCGCGGGCTCGATTAGCAATTATTCAACATGGCGGACGGTGTGTCTCTGATTTAGCAGAAATACTTGGAAAGTTTACGCGCAATTTTTTTTCTGTTTTGTCGTCTTCTGGATCAAAACTATGAATTCTGAAGCTACAAAAGGAAGCCCATCAGGTTACGCAAAGAGCATTTCCTTGCCTGAGGTGTTCAGAAATCTAAACACTGCAAAAATCTTTGCAGTGGATATTGGTGAGTTGCAAAAGCGAATGTATTGGACTATGTGGCTATTCATCTATTTAATTACTTGAAGAGGTTTTTCTTTTAATATCTCGAACAGAAGCGCCTATTACATGGAAGTCAAGAACGAGTTTTCGGCTAAATCATAAAAATTGGTATTTACAAACTTGGAAAATCGTAACTAACATTTTTTTAATTTGGATTTTTTTATAACGTACCGAATTTTGCCAGAAGAACAATACTGTTATAATGCTCCACCACCCCCCCCCCCCCTCCCATGACCTTAAAATAGCCTATAGGAGGAGGCAAGATTTTGTTGTGGGTGGGGGGGGGGGAGGTGGGTGAATCACTGGTACCCTGAAACCCTGGGCTTAAGCTCCTCGCCATATTAAGCTGCAATTTTGTTACCATGTTGTAAACTAGGCACCAAAGATCCCTATCCTATCTCAGAGTATAAGTCAACCAGAAACTCCATTCATCATACCACTGATTGATTTCCTATTAATGGCACCCTACTCTATAGCAAAATCTTTGATATCTATCATGAATGCCAGAATAAATTGCTTAAAAACTCCACCCCTGACAGTGGCACATATCTATATAACCCATACATGGTAGTATGCTGATCCCTACCCCACCCTCAGCCTATACTCTTGGTACAGCAATTGGGTTTGGGTTAAGTTCTCCAAAGTATTTCGTAGGTGTGCAGCCCCTTAGAAAATGATTTCTTTAGTTTTCTTCCCAGTCCCAGATATCATTTCCCTCTTTCTTTCTTGCTGGCTAGTGTCGATTTGTCCCAGCCTACCCCGGCCTTGGTGATACTTTTTCTGTTTGGATAAATTTAGGTTTCTAGGAAACTGTCCACCTACCCCTTCCCTAAGTCAACATTACCACGTACTTCTCACTTAGGGCAAAATGTTGGGTTAGGGGAGGGGTAGGTGGGCAGTTTCCTAGAAACCTAAATTGATCTTTCTGTTCTTCTGTTTCCTTTGAAGGTGGGTCTCTGGCCAAAGTGGCATACATGTCACAAGTAAGAACCATTAGGAAACGACATTACAGCTTTACTTCGTTAACTTCGTTGGCTAAGAGTGATGATGAAGACCAGGACAAAGGGGCAGTGGTGAGTTCAACCTAATAATATAGCAGTGTAGTCTTCAATCAGCACATGGAGTTTATGAGTTCGAGCAGGTCCCATGATTTGTTAGGGACATGTAGCCCAGCTGTTGCAACCCTTACCAGATCTCCGGGGAAGGTGGGAGGAGGGGTACTACTTGGGTTAATTTTTGCTGGGTATGTGCCGCTGGCCTCTCAGAGCCCCTACCCCATTATAGTCTATTCTGTGGCCAATTATAGACCCCTTCTTAATCGCTTTTGGGCAAAAACGTAATTTTCGTGATCCCAACTTAGTCACTTTCTAATATGTATCAACCTTATATTGAATAAAGAGCACTTTACTTTTCACCTACAGTACAAACATTCTGGTACGTTTGCTAAACATAAATATGAAGGACTCTCTTACCCCAACAATCAGAAAATGTGTGACCCCATTCTAGTAACTCTATTGAAAATGCGACCCTAATCCAGTCGTGAAAATGTGACCCCATCCAGCAGCACATCCCTATTACCCTCTTATAAAGAAGTACCCCCCTCCCCCCCTGGGACCAGACCATGTAGTACCCTCATGTGAGGCCCCGTTAGTTGGGGGGTGGGGTAGGGCTACAAATGTCACTACTTTGAACTTCAAATCTCTTTTATGTTATTGAGGAAGCCCTGTCTCTATTAGTATTTTACCATTGTATTTGCACTTGTTTAATTGTTGTATTTTCCATCGATCTTTGTGTTGTACTGTCAAGAAGACTTTTACAACTTTATGTTCTTACCAGCCTGACAGAGGATCTTCTGGGCATATCTACGAGATCAAGGAAGACCAGGAATCTAGTATCCGATTACACTTCATAAAGTTTGAAACCAAGTACATTGAAATGTGTGTCAACTTTATCAAAGACAACATTTTAACTGCTGCACATAAAGACAAGGCTCTTAAGGCAACAGGTAATCAAAAGCCAAATGGAGAGTTTGTAAAAAAGTTTCGTGAGAAAGAAGCCCTTACAAAAAACGAGAAGTGTCCAAATGCCTCCAACAGACAACATACTTATTCTCCCCATGATAAACACCCTGGTTTAATGCTTCTAAAACTCCCCTTACAATATCTCACCATGCCCTTTAGGAAATATCACCAAGATAGTATTCCATAACTACTTAACTGATGTCCACAACCAGAGCTCTTTGACCTTGGGGAGGGATGATGAGCATTTACACCAAATATGGTCACAATGGCACCATGTTTTTGACACTGTCATAATAGCTTGTGAAGACAAAAAAAGCAATCAAACAGTGGTTGCTGTTGTAGTAGAAAAATGTCTTT